TCGCACCCTGAGAGCTGTCTTTAAAAATCAGCTGTAAACTTCTCCCTTTCCTTTGCTTCCTTTGCTCCTGTCCGGAGGCCAACACTAAGACTCACTGCACGGCAACCCAAATTTAGCTCGGAAAGAGCTGGCAAACACATCCACATGTGGATAACAGGGTCTCGAGAAGGAAAGCAAAGTGAAATAAAAGAGGGGTATGTGGGGGAGGGAAATAAGTCTGCTATTTCCCACCCAGCAATCAATATAAGCCTCAGAACATCATCACAGGCTGCACAAAGCTCTCGGCGCCGGGAGGGGGAGGGAGGCAGAAGGTACGCCAGGACCACTTTTTGTTTATTGAGCAGTAATGTATTTTGCCTACAGCAAATGAAAAAGCAATGCAAGAGCAATGAAGAGCAGCAAGTAAAATTAGATTGTAGCTTTCTGAGTGTGACAAATAGGCTTCCCCGACAAGTTTTGCTCATTAATCGCGAGTTTATTTTAGTAATCCATCTCCCATGGCTTGCGCCGCAGCCGCGGCACATTCTGTTCCACAGTCGGGCGCTCTATGCCGCTTAGGTTTAAAGAGTTGCCTAAACCCCACGACCTCCAGCTGTCTGTCTTGTTTTATCATTTGGTTCGACAAAGCCTCCCTGCTCCCCCGACAGACAACCACATCAAGGCGCTCATTAAAGAAATCAAATGAAAAAGAGAGTGATGTATTAATATAAAGCTGACAAATAATCCCTGCCTCCGTGGCTGGGATGGGGAATATACTCCACATACAGGATTCATGCTTCTAGGGTCTGATCCTGTTCACCACTGCAGCAATTGGAAGCGCAAGACTTGCACCAGCCAACCTGCACCTGACAGTCGTTCATCCTAACAGCCCTGGCTCCTCTCACTGCGGTCTACTCTGCAAAACGGAGCTACCCTGAGCTGAGAAGTGTGAGCAGATGCCCCAGGCTTGCACAGACCTCCGAGCTTCCAAAATAACCATCTGCCTTCCCGTCCCTGCGCTGACACACCAAGACGTGAGATGGTGTAACACGCAGGCACGTCCACACCCTCCACCAGACAGACTTAGTATTTCCAAAGCACTCGAGACCAATTTATCGCAAACACCCATTCTGGGAACTGGGGAAAGGGGGAACTTATGTCTTGCAGGGAAAAGCCCCATGCTGGCAACTAAGTGCTCTAGCATGGAGCAGGCTTCAGCGGAGAGGTGCTAGGGAAAGCAAGGTCTCAACTGGTTTAAATCTCCAGTAACCCCTTCAGGGTAGCACTCAGCAAGCCAACCTCAAAGTGGAGGAAGAGAAAGAACTTGGCTGAAGCATTTGGAGAGGAGCATAAGCTGATGGCATGATACAAAGAAAGATGGTATTGGTCGGTCAGCTCTTTTCCTCAGCGGTTCACATGAACAAAATGGAAAACCCGGGCTGGGCTCAGCCTAGTCCCATGGGTGCGTGGCTGATGGCCGTCTTGTCACTGTCTCACTAACAGCCCCTGCAACCCTGGGTGGACTGGCAGAGGAAGAAGCTAAGTGACCCTCCACCCGCAGACAGACCCATCTCAGTGTGTGCACTCTGCCATCTGCCACTTGCCCAGCCACAGCAGCCGTGGCTGGAGTGGCATCTATTCTGCAGGTTTTAGTCCTGAGGATGCTCATACGTGGGCTCCTGCCAAGGCCACATCTGCCTGGATCATAGTCCAAACTATGGCAGTGGGAGTTAGGCTGACTGAGAAGCTTGTACCTGCTGCTAGGAGCAGCCCTGCTCAGGTCCTGTCTCTGCTACCGAAGTGGGCTACGCCCGGCTGGCAAACTGCTTTGCAAAGTCATTTCCTAGTACATAGCTGCCCATAAAAATACCCAGCAATCTATGGCCATCCCAGCCTGTGCAGTGTCCCATCTGCAAACTCAGGCAAGTTAACTTCATCTCACTGACCCCTGATCCATGTCTCACGGCCACTGCAGCTATAACGTTCCAGGCTAGGTCAATCCTTAGTCTTTGGTCTTAATTGCTCCAAGGTGAAATTGGTTAATGGAGATGCTAATGCAAATGAGCTTTGTGATTCTAATTGGCATCAAGAATCCAATTTACTGATGGAGATTAATTTACTTCCCTAGGATTTATTTTTTGTAATACAACAGTGCCCAGGTCAGGGGGGTTGGAAGCTTATTTTCCATGCACTCATATGCATGGAGTTGATAGAAATCAGTTGCTCTCAGTTATGGACTTAGACATTTGCTTAGATGGAAACTCAAGTTCCTTAAAAAAAAAATAACTTCAATGTAATTAATAACCCAGCGGCCTCGGCAGTTGGAGAGCAGAGGCTGATCCTCAGACCATGAAATTCCCCGCTCCAGCCAGGCTCGCGAGCGGTCAGGTTAACCTACCCTCTAGCAGAGCTCGTGGAAGAGCAGGACGACCTGCTCTACTAGCTTGCATCTCAGTGGGCACATCTACACGAGACCTTACTGCACAGCTGCCTAATGAACTGCACAGTACACATCTCAGTGTCTACATGTGCACCCCTATTAGGGCGCACGAAATGAAAAAGCTCTGCAGCAGGGTAGTACCTGTAAATACAAGTACTAAACTGCTGTGGAGTTTTTTCATGCACAGCAGCATACATAGAGATGCTGCCCTGGCTGGCTGGGGCACAGGATGCTTCAGTGCAGGGCTAATCAGTAGGCAGCCCCTGGGCTGAAGCACCCTGTGTCCCAGCCAGCTGCTCTGCATCACGTGGAGCCCAGTCGGAGGAGCACTGGGCTGGCGGCCTGACCCGCAGGACCTGTGCCAGCCTGGGCTGCTCTGACTGGGCTGCATGTGCTGCACACAAATATTACTTTGGAGTTTTTTGCTCCCAGGCGCGCGTTCAAATGGCATTAACTGAACGTGTAGATGAGCACAGTGTGATGGAGAAAGCAGCCCCTCTAGGCATGAGCTGACTGTCCAGAAGGAGCAGGGCCTGAGCCCCGGGTGCTCCCATCCTTCCCTCCCCCTGCAAGCAATCAACCCCTATGACAAGGGCAGGAATTTTTTCACCCACGTGCCCTCCCCACAGTGCAAAATGCTCAAATTGTCTCAACAGGCCAGCCTGCAAAGGGAACAAGGAAAGGAGAATGGTGGTGGGGAAAGGGAGAAGAGATGCAGGGAAACAGAAAGGATTCCTCTAGCAGAGGGTGTTCCTGAGAGTGGACAGGAGCAGCGGGCCTGAGTCAGGCCCCAGAGTCCCGAGAGCACTGGACGATGCAAGCTGTCTTGCTGGCCTGGGCTTCCCTATGAGCAAGTGACCTCCTCTCCTACATGCCGGGCCACAAGGAATTGCCTTTGTTCACTTCTCCTCTAGGAGATGAAAAGGGAATAGATTTGTGGGGGGTATCTGGAGAACAGGAAAGGAGAGAGGGGTGTCAGAAATTCAGGGGAGGAAGGGAGATGAGAATACACAAGATCTCTCCCCATTCTGCTCATACCTCCACCCCGGCTTCCCTTATGAGTGTCCTGACAGCTCTCCCATGGCCAGCACAGGCTCATTACTATGTTCCCATCACACTGCACCAGCTTTCCCAGAGGCAGCATTTCTGCTGACAAAGCTGTGCTGGTTGTGTTGCGGGGTCTCAGACAGTCAGAAGCCCTGCAATGCTCTCCCGGGAGGGCAGTTCTGGAAGAAGGAGAGGGGCAGAGCAGGGGGACCGTGCACTTCCCACCCCCTCAGCCCATAAGGGGAAGGGGCAGGCAGCTAGCACACAGCCGGCCCCCATCACCACGTTTTATAGCAACGCAGGCAGTAAAATCCAACTCCGCCATAACGACTGAGCCCAGAGACCGAGCTAGGCAGAGAGCCAGGCAGCAAGACCCTTGCTATGCACGGTGCTGCAATTCCAGCGCTGGACTCCGAGAAGCAGGGAGTTACTAGGAAAACAGCCCAGGCCCCAACTCGAGCCATCTCCCAAAGGTCTGCAGCACAGCGACCTGTTCCATTTCTAGCACGATCCTACGTCGGCACCTGTGGGCTCAGGGTTACACTTAACCACAGGGAAAAGCTAACAGCAAAATGTATGATATAGGAAAGACTGTACAGAGCAGCAGCAAAACCTGTCTGTGACAAACGGAGACCTAACTTTGTTTCTAGACTTCTCCCAGCAGCTCCATCTAGGAGGCAAACATCCAAAGAGCCCCAGGTCTCTAAGTCACCCTCCTGAACGATTTACATTTACATCTCAATCTCCGAGCTGATTCTGGATCCGAACTGGGGGTGCGGTGTCTGCTCCCACCGACACTGCTGCTACCGACTCCCCTGGAGAAGGGGTTGGTAGCAGAGGAGGTTGGAGAGGAGCAAACCCAGTTTGCAGCAGCGTTCAAAGTTGAGGGCACCTGTTTCTGTTCTGCCCTGAAAGGCAAACCAATGACTTTCGTGAAAAGAGCACAGTGTCAACGCCTCCGTTTCCATATCAGCGTGTGCATGTCTGCGTGCTGGTGCTGCGGGCCCACCGGCAGGTGGACCCCAGTTCAAATCCTAGATCAGCAGTTTTAGTCTACTAGATTGCAGTGAATCAGTCAGTTGTTGACCTAGTCTCCCACCGCTCAGGCCAGTGCCCTCCCTACAGGGCAGCAGGCCTCTCAGTCTCTCGGAAACACTTCCCAGTGAAACCGAGACACTTCCAGGAAACTACCACGCGCAGCTGCAGAGGTCTGCACTCAAAGTGGCTTTAAGGGATCTACACAGTGGGACTCAGGCAGGCTACAACGTCTACCTGAAAATAAGGCCCCTTGGTCTCTCTGTAAGATGTGAGATGAAAGCAGGTAGGTGACTTGTAAAAATGACTCTCCATTGATTACATCAGGACATCTATCACGACAATTCACAGATTCAGAAGACCTAGGACAGACCACTGCTCCAAAGCCAAGGCCAGTTCTCTCTTCATTCAAGACACCACACGCTGCAGCTGTACGGGCACAGGCATGCAGCAGCGAGCCACGGGCAGAGAGAAAGCCAGAGCTGAGCGCCAGCCTTACCTCCGATCTTTGCGTTGTACGCTATGCCCACGATGCAATGGGAGTTGTTTGCGGAAGCTGCGACTTCTCCAGCACAGCGGGTGCCATGCCTGAAAAGAGAGCGTACCATCAGGGTGTGCCCCGTGGAAAGGATTTCCAGCATGCAAGCGCAGGACCTGCGGCACACGATCCCCAACTTCCTCACATCATGCCTAGTCATCACGGGCAGAAGGCAGGGCAGGGTTGCACCTTACAGACTAAGTGGTTCAGAGAGGCGTGAGCTTTCCTAGGCATCAACCTACTTTGTCAGATGCTAGGAACGGACTCAGCCCCACCATTCCTCCGCTGTCCCAATCCTGCAGAGATGTCACGCTGACCCATTTGTGACATCCCACTCCCTCTGGTGAGATCACAAACGCAGGCCTAGACGGCAGCCGCTCGAGAGACTGCAAGATCCTCATTCGAGACACCAGCTCAAGAGACTCAAAGATCCTTATTCAACCAACACAACAATGGCCAGGGGAATGCAGGAAATTATTGGGAAAGCAAATTGCTTCTTGTATGAATGTTTCCTTTTCAAATGTGCCAGCATGTGGAAGTCCCACTTCAATTTACGTTCCAAAAGTGTGTCAAAGTTTTGACATCTAATCCACTAAATTAGAGAAGTGCTTAGAGGATTAGTATCGTTAAGGGAATTCATGTAAGGTCACCCTTAAAACTAGTTTTTTGGTTGGTCCTGCTAGACTAGAGGACACGGCTGCAGCGGGTTGTTCAGGCATTTCACCGCACGGCTCCTATTATCAGCATCAGGAGCCATGCGGTTATAATCCCCCAGCACCACGCTGCAAATTCACCCCTCTTTGCGCACCAATTGGCCTGTAGCAGATCCCCCCCATCTGAGGCCTATTGTGAGATGAAAGGAGAAACAGACCCCTAGGTTTTCACCGGTGAAGCTATTCCTTTTATAAAGGCTTCTTGTAACACGGGACATGAAAGAAAAGCGACTGATCCTAGGGCTTGCTATTTAGCAAGTTCGCTGGCAATTTATGGGGTTTACCACATTCGGGGAGCCCTGCTGTTTGCTCGCAAATGTTTGCAGGCAACAATTACAGCATAATTAACTCAAAAGCAGGGGTGCTGGCTAGAGAGCTGAACTGAGAGAGCCCGGGCAATTGCTAGGATTGTGTGTTTTACGCACATCGAGGACAGGATCCTATGTGCAATACGGGACAGCTCGTCTCCGAGAGGATTTGGCTGGGGGCAGGTCAGGGCAGGGGTGTGGGGTGTTGGAGAAGGACAATGAGAATAAAGATCAAGAGCCTGGAAAAAAAAAAGCCTCTTACCAAAGAGACTAGAAAGATGGGTGCTGTTTCCCTTTGAGAGGAGACACATGAGATGGAAGCTGATGAAAGGACATACAGTAATGAAAGGTTTCGAGCGGACAGGACATGGGGGCTGCTGTTATCCCTGTCTCCTAGCGTGAGAACAAAAGCAGTCAAGGAAATGGAAGAGGAGGCAGATACCAAACTGATCAAAGGAAACACTCATCACAAAATGGGTAGTTAGACCATGCAGTTCAGCGCCAGGGGAAGTCAGCGAGGCCCCAGACAGCCTGGAAATTTAGAGGGATGCTAGGAATATCCGAATGAATGGCACCAAAAATGTTGGAAGGGATTAGGAGCTGCAAGCTGCCAGGCTTACACTGGCTTCTGACTAGCAGAGATCAAGAGAACGCCTGATGCGAGAAATAAAGCGTCTCCTGGCCACTTACCTGGGGGTCTGATACCTTCTTCTGACGTGTCTACTACCGTCAGAGAAAGGACACAACCTAAATGGGCCCTGGAGCAGATCCTTATATCACTACGAGCTGAGCGAGGACGGACACAGCACTGCTGGCGGAGGACAGCGAGTGGCATTAAACCAAGAACTACATCAGGAGAGGACAGGCAGTGTGCAGTGAGCCCCATGACTTAAAGCATCCTCGAAATCAGCTGCCAGGGCAGGGAGCAGCAAACAGTTAGTTAATCCTGCTTCAAACTGGAGATTACCACTCATGGGTGCTCACCAGCTGATCTGGTGTTAGGGTTTCATCTGTGCACTCTGATTCTGCAGCTGCTGAAATCAAACTGCTGTGATTTACCCCTGCATGAAACCGGTGATAAATTATCGTGGCTTGGCTTCCACCTATTGTGAGACAGGGCGGACAGATGAAGCCGTAACAGTGGAATCAGCTGGTTTGTGAGAAGTCCCCCTCCCCTGCTTTTCAACGGGGAAAATTGTTTGGTCTCTCCACCGACTCAGAAAAAAACATCCTGGCTGTTCCTCTCTCTACACCAGACCACGGCAGACAGCCAAAGTGGACAGATCTGCTATTAAGCTACTCACCATCTGTGAAAATGGTTTAATGTAGGCTGTTGTCAGGCAATGGTCATCATGTCCTGTCGCACTGTATTGTTCACATTGGTTTAAGAGCTTAAACCAGTGCTGGCCAACCTTGTCAAGCCTCCTGTTCCCCAAGCGCTGCTCTGATCCCTGCCCCAGAACGGACACAGCAGGCTCCAGCTCCAGAGCGGAGGGCAGGATGCTGATGCCAGAGGGGTGTCACCTCCAAGAGCCAAATTAACCCTGCCCTGACCTCACAATCACTGCACTTCTATGTGGCAAGTGAGGGTCCAAAGCCCTGAATTCAGCAGCAGCTGCTGGGTCAGGGAAGGGTTATCTTGTGAAGGGTGGTGACACCCCTCGCAGCAGGGTCCAGACCTGCCCCCTACTCTCCCCAACCTGGATGGAGGCTGGAGCCCTTCTGCCTCCATCCCAGTGCTTCTCTTTACTGAGTGCCTCCGGCTCAGGTACCACGCACACTTGTGGTATGTGTGCCACCATCCCTGGCCTAAACAAAGGGCTGGCATGCACCTTCTGGCATGCACCTTGGTATGGGTCACTTCTCCTCCCCAGGCCTCCCTCCCCTCAACCCCACTCCTATAACCCCAGTCCCCTGGGGGGCAGCTGCCGTGCCTGCTAGCCAAGTGCCCTGAAGGTGTTGTGCAAGTGCCAGGTTCATTACCCTAAGCACAACTGGAATAGACTCCCCCAGAAGTGGTGCAAGCACCTACTCTGGACACCGTTAAGAAACGCTTGGACGCTTATCTTGCTGGGGTGATCTGACCCCCGCTGACTTCCAGCCCCTTGCGCAGGGGCTGGACGCGATGATCTCACGAGATCCCGTCCACCCCTAATGTCTGTGAGATCGATGAAACCTATGACATACTTGTTCTCGTTGCTGGCTTCGTAGCGTGGGCTCGGGTCGTTGTCATTCCCATTGACATCATAACTCGCCAGAGGATCCTAAAAACATCGGGCTGCTGTTAGCGAGATCGACTGTGCGCGCGGCAGAGACCCAACTCACACCCCGCGGAGGGAAAGTCTCAATGACCGTAGCAAGCGGGGTGGAAAGATCTCTCCAAAGCCAGCTCCCACGAGGCATGGCTGCTTGCGGGGTGCATATGCCATAAGCTACCATTGCATTTGCTTGGAAAGCCTTTGCCTACATCTGGGGCAGGCCCTGAAAGGCAGAGGCCCCCACTCCAGGGCTCTGACACTGCCTCATTCAACTGCAACGCAGGCACGGCTGAGCCGCCGGCTTTCCTTACACACGCAGCTCTTTCCTCAGGATTGAAATCCTGTCTCCCCGCTGACAGAAAGGGCCTCCGGAAAGACCGTTCTTCGATATATCCTGCTTTTCCAATTACGCCTTCCTGCAAGGCCACGAAGCGTTTGCCGCACAAATCAAATCAAACGCTTACATGAAATGCCTGCGAGCCGGGTGAGATGCCACGTTAACACTAACAGGGCGCTCGGGGCTCAGGATGGGGAGGTGGCTGCTGCGGTGACCTGGCTCCTCTCATTTCAGTCCCAAGCATCTGTATTAAGATGAAGGATGGCTCTTGGCGTCCCGGGTGACACCCAACATACGGGACCCGCAGTCAGGAGCGCGCAGGCCAAGAGGGGAAGCTGTCTGCAAGGGAAATAGCTGAAGCGGGCACGGAGGGCCTCACTGCAGGCATCCCTGCCTCTCCGCTCCTTGTCCCAGCGTGGTCCAGCCCCATCCCAGCACTCAGCCGGATGCCCAGGACAAATCACAGGTTGACAGACTCCGACATGAAGCTGAACTCTGAAGTCCTTCATCGTCTTCCCTTGCACGAGTGACTGGTGCCTCCTGAATCTGGGTGGGGCACCCACAAAAGCTGCCGATGGCAGTGGGCCTGTCAGGGGGGCACCAGCCCTGCCGACAGCATCAGTGTCGGCCATAGGGGAGCACTGGCCCCGTTGTGGGGGGGGCACGTGCACCCCCATGCACCCCCTACCAGTTGCCTATGGCTAACACCAGCAGGAGTTTGTCTAAGTAGGGACCAGGGGAGGAAGGGATCTGGCCCTAAAACCATGAAAAGATGGAGCTCATTTCAAACAAAGACACTTAAAAGGTGTGAACGAGGAGGAGAGAATAACTCAGGTCATTGCAGAGGGCCCGAGCCCTGGTGGAAGGCAGCTCAGCACTGCTCACTGCCTCGGGACATTGCCAGCTGTTGTGGGGGGAGACACCCAGCACCAAACTTTGGCTCTGACGGGTTCAGTTCCCCTCAAAGACATTTCACTCCCACCCCAGCATCGTGCCCATGTGCATTTAGCAGGGAGTCAACAGCGGCTGGCACTCCATGGGGTTTTTTAACAACCCAACTAATATCTGAGACAACAGGGAGAACTGCAATAACGTTTAAGGTCCGTGTATATGCGACAAAGTGCCTGGCCAAGATTGAGACTAAGGCTTAGTTCCTAGCAAGGACAAGGGGGATTGGAAGCCAGGTTCAGCCTCTGAGCTGAATGGTGAGCCTGGCTCGAGGACTAGCCTTTCCCAGGGCCGCTTAAGAGCTAACTGAAGAAAGCCTGGCTCGTTCTGGGTTTGAACTCTGGCCGAGTGAAATCATTCACGTTGCATCTGCATTTCGCTCTGGCCGTAGGCCGCTGGGTTTTACTCTCACAAGAGTCTGATGATGGCATAAGCCATCTCCCACCCCTGGCTCCTAGTCGGCCCAAACAGAATAGTTTCCAAACACTTCGTTGGGGAGCTGTAATTTATTTCCTG